TCAGTGGGCCCGTTCCTACAGCCAGAGGAGGAGCCGAGAGGTTCAGCAGACTGTTGGCTCTTAATGTTTTTTTTTGGAAAAGCTTTGTACTGACCACTCTGTGAGATATATGGATAATTTTGATCTCTTCTGGGAAAGAAAACATCTCTTCAGGTCTGATGGAATGAATTTGAACAGACATGGATCAGAGCTGTTAGCTTCAAGCATGAAGTATTTCCTGAACCAAGTTCCGGCTGGAACCAAACAACAGGAGAGTGATCAGCTGACGTCTGAGGCTGAAGGACAACAGGTGCAAACTGAGACACCAATGGAAAACAACGTGCAAGTGGCTGAACCAGAACCAGAACCAGAACTAGAACCACAGAGAGGGGAGCTACTTCAAGCTGCTGAACTGGAAGAACATCTGGACTCATAATCATAACAAACAGAGGAACCAGAAAATGGATTTCCCCAACCTACAACTGAAGAAAAACTGACCACTTCTTCTCCACCTGAGGAACCCACGCCATCAACTGAGAATGAGAATGTAAAACCTACATCCATGAAAAAAGTATACAGGATCGGAGACCGCTTTGAAGACCCTGTGAAACGAGAACAGGAGCGTTCAGATTATCGCACAAAGATACAGAACCTTTGGATGAGGAATAAAAATAAATGGACAGAGAAGAAGAAACAAGAGTGGAAAGAAAGCATTRTGAGTCTTATCCCTGATGATGAATATTTTTATGTCTGGGAGGATTAAAAATTGAATTTCTGGGTTGGGAAATGTTTAGAAACATCCTGATGTAATAACAGATGTTATGGCTTCTCTTTATAAAGTTTTCATAAAATTTCTAATAGTTTTGACATATTTTATATGTCAAGAGAGGGATTGAAGAAATTTTGTAACTGATTAATTGAATATTAGATTCAGTTTTGTATTTTCTACTTTCTGATCTTTTCAGTCTGAAAGGTTGAAGCTGACAAAGAGTTGGTGTGTTATCATGTGTTCTTTCTCTTAGCCTAAACAAAACTGAGTGATGTTCTGACGTCTGACGTAAAAGGTAACATCTCTGGGGTGTAACCATGAAGAGATGAACATTATATGCTGAATTCATTATTATAGTAGAAAGTTGTCAGTGTTTTTTTGCAGAGTGTCTGCTCAGAGCAGAGCTCCCGTGTTTGTTTTGATTTGGCCCAAGGTTGTACGCTGAGGCCTGTGCTGCTGAGAGCTGAATGAACCTGATTGGAGTCAGAAGATCAAAAATAAAGTTTTAACAAGAAACCCAGCTGAAACCTGTTTATTCGGACATACCATTTTGAACAACGCATATTTTTCCAACAGAACCTTGTTAAGAAGATGTTAGCTAATAGAGACAAGTTTCATCCCATAACCAGAGAACATTTTCTAACTGTTGACTGGTAAATATAAATATTATTATTTTTTATGACAGTGAGAAGAAATAATAAATATACTTTATTA